GGAATAGGCTTTCATAACGCAAACACAATGCCATTCCAGTTCTCAAGATGTTTGTTTTTCTATTTTTATTCTTCTGTCATGCAATCAAGCAAATAAGCGAGGCCTCGTTTGTAGCGCCCGAGGCAACCGATGGCTGATGACGTCACTCAGTGGAAATTTCCCAGCAGCAGGTCGTTCGCAAATGGCAATGCCGCTTTTTCCCTTAGTTACTCCCACATTTTTAAGGATTACGCGAGAACTGCTAAACACAGAAGCTTGAAATTTTAAGGGAATAAAGAAAAATGGTGAACAACGTATAAGTCAGTTTGACAAATCACAGCTCCGAAAAATCTTCAAAGCGCACCACATCAACCACTTTCGCAAACGTTTTCGACTGCTTCTAGGATGGGTACAATGTTGTCAAACTGCATACTACTACATTGACCTCTTTTCTGATTGGCTGCCAAGTTTCATTCATATCCATTCACGAGAAGCGACGTGAGAGCGAGTTGAAGTCAACAACCTTTGCGTTCGTGCGTCCCACGAAACACCCCCGCTGCGGGGGTCAAAAATCGGCAGAACAAAACGCGCTCGGTGGGCATTGCTAGTGTGTGTGTGTGTGTACGAGTGTGCGTGCGTGCGTGCAGGTGCTTAAAGTTGGCAATAAAGAAACTGTTTTTAGACATGAGAAATTGAAATATTGTACTGAGTAACTGGGGTCAATATCAACTATATAGCAATGACAATGAAAAATTAAATTTTCATCCAATTGCTTAAAAATGGGCTTAAATGAAAATAGAGTAAATTCTAAGAACTTATGGTTTTTAAATTTTAAAAATCCATTGATAAATAAAAAAGTTATTATGATTTTTGTTTGCAAAATGTTAGAGGACCTTATAGGAAAAAATCGCCAAAATGTGGGACATGTTTTGATGTATTTTGAGGAAAAACTGTTCATAAGTCAGTAATGAATTGGAGCATATGAATGAAACTTGGCATCTCCATGTGATTTTTAGTGCCGAATCTAGTTCTGCTATCACTTTTTCGATGTTTTCATTACTTTGGATCTTAAAGACTGATATTTGCATGAAATTTGTTGAATTGCGTGACATCGTTTTTACCGCGACGCGATCACCCCTTCTAAAACTCAGTAAAGCGCTATCGGGAAAACCCGCGATGTAGTCATCGGTGACCCATTTGGTTATAGGCAGCCAATCACATGCCGCCTAGCGATCACGCGCCTCTTGCGTGCCGGCACCTCACGTTTGGAATGCGTGATCAAGTTTCTAGATCTAGTGTTTTATCAATGGATGGGTGGTAATTTTAAGTTGGTACGGAAAATCTACTTAACGCAGAGATCTGAAATTTTACAGCAATAAAGAAGACATGTGGGGCGCTTGTGTGGTCGGCGATCAACCCGCAGCTCCGCTTAGTTTTCGAACCGCAGAGGAAATTCGCACAAACACGGCAATATCTCCGGTTCTAGTGATCGTTCGGGATTGTACGCTGGCATGTCCTTAGTTTAACCTTTCCTCTGGTTGGTTGCCGAGTTTCATTTATTTTCGTCCAGGAGTTTTCCCGTAACTAAACTTAGAAGAGAGTCACTTCTGATTCCGAGCGGCCCAAAAAATACCCCTCGCGCGGAGGCCGATTTCCGGCCCAAGGCGCAGCGGGTGATTGGCATTGCTAAACTATAGCAGTCACTCCGCAACTCTGCTGCGTGCGACATAATCAAAGATCGCGGCTCAGACTGACAAGTCTTTCGGCCCCTTTAAACAATGCGACTAAACGTAGACGTAGAACGACGCACTTGCCTGGTCGGCTGTTATTACTGTTAATTTTTAGTATTAATGTGATGTCGTCACATCCTGAGATACCCACCAATTATTTTCAGAAGGCCCTGCATGGAGATCCCTCATGAAACGACATGTTGGGTCAGTGGCTTGACGTATTATAAATCCGTATCTATGTGTTTCGCACAGTAAAATTTCACACTTGGACATGATGGAAGATCGCTTAGTAAAGATCGTTGATGCTCAGAACAGTAAGAACGCTGTGAGTGTGAGGCTTGAACTTGAAATTGAAATACGGTAAACGCAAAGACAAAAAAGCGCACGAAAATTGCAGTGAAGACACAGGAAAAT